TTTTGCATGAACAGCTTGCTGGGTGTGATGCTTCGGCTCTGTGTAGGTATCAGCGATGCCATTTTGCCAATTAATTGTCGTACGAATTCGCAGTCGTCGTTGTTCGCTTTTGATGGCACGAAGAAGTCGGCCGGCAAACGTTGTGTAGCACCGTACGTCATTAAGGCTGGGCTGAGATTGTTGTCGGCTCGCAATGCAGTACGTAGGCCCAGTAGTACTGTGGGTAATTCTTGAGCCCATTCTGTCGTCGTGCCTCTTGCCATAAGCGCTGTCTTAACTGTGTGATGCCATCTCTCGACTTGTCCGTTAGCTTGCGGGTGATACGCGGTAGTACGTAATCGTGTAATGCCGAACTTGTGCATTAATGATTTGAATAGCGCCGACTCAAACTGCCGCCTCTGGTCTGTGGTGATGCGGAGCGGGCAGCCGAATCTCGTTATCCAGCCGTCGTACAGCGCTTTCGCGATGACATCGGCGGTGATGTCACGGACTGGAACGGCTTCTGGCCACTTGGTGAATCGGTCAATCATCGTTACGCAATAACGGTACTCGCTTGATGACTGCAGGGGTCCGACGATGTCGAGGTGAATGTGTTCGAATCTCTGCGATTGAGGAAACTCGCCGGCTGGTGTGACCGTGTGACGATGTATTTTGGCGCGCTGGCACGCAATACAGCTTCTTGCTCAGTTGGCCGTGTATTGATTCATGTGCGGCCAGAAAAATTTTGCTGCTATTTGCTTCCTCGTGGTGCGTACGTCTGGATGGCAGAGATCGTGTTGTGCTCTGAAGGCAACGAAGCGATATGCAGTTGGCAAATATGGGCGGGGCGTCGATAATGAAATCTCGCACGTGATTGGTCGCTGCAGTCCGGGTAGAGTGAGTTCAGTAAACTTTAAGTTGGGTTTTTTACGTAGCGTCCTCAGTTCTTCGTCTTCATTTTGATCATCAGCCAACTTCATGTAATCGATCACCGAAGGACAACTTATCACTTCAACTCGCGATAATGCGTCTGCGACAACGTTATTTTCCCCTTGTATATATTTGATTACAGTGCAGAATTGACTGATAAAGTGCAGCTGCCTTTCTCTCCGGGGTGTATCGCTGCTGCTGTCTGCCCGCGTCAGCGCATACGGTTTGTGGTCAGTGTAGATGGTGATGTCATTTCCTTCAATTAGCCTTCTGAAGTGCTTCACAGCTGCGTACATTGCTAATAATTCACGATCGTACCCACTGTAACGTCGCTGGGTGTCGCTCATTGTCTTGGAGAAAAAGGCTAGTGGTTTCCATGTATTGTCGATCTTTATTTGGAGAACTGCACCGATGCTCCGATCCGAGGCATCGGTCATCATGCAGAGTGGACTGCCAGCGACTGGATGTGATAGCAGGGTGGCTTCCAATATGCTTTGTCTGCAGTTATTGAAAGCTTGTTCGGCGAGAGGTGTCCAGTCGACGGGGGTTTTGTCGTTCTTCTTTTTGTTGTGCAGGAACTTATTTAATTCAGTTTGCAGTTCGGCTTGATGGGGTAGGCAGTCTCTGTAGAAGTTCAACATGCCCAGGAAGCGTCTGAGTTCTTGGATGGTCTGTGGTTTCGGGTAATTTGATATGGCTTCTGTTCTCTCGTCAGTGGGTTTTATGCCGGCTCCTGATACTTCATAACCGAGGAAGTTGATTTTTGTTTTTCCGAAGTCGCATTTGCTTATATTCAATGTAACACCGTAGTTGTTGAGACGTTCGAGTACTTCTTGAATGTGCAGTTTGTGCTGTTCTTCATTTTCGGAGAACACGAGGACGTCGTCGACGAAGGTGATGCAGCAATTAAGACCTCGTAGTACTTCGTGCATGAAGCGCTGAAACGTTTGACTCGCGTTACGTAAGCCAAACGTCATGCAGTTGAATTCGAACAGCCCGAACGGTGTTATAATTGCTGTCTTTTCTGCGTCTTCACTCGATATGGGAATCCAGTAGTAAGCCATCTTCAAGTCGAGTTTGGAAAATATTTTTTTGCCATGAAGTTGATACGTGAAGACCTGAATTCCTGGTATTGGGTATCTGTCGGGTTGCGTTACTGCATTTAGTCTTCTATAGTCCCCGCATACACGTAGACTGCCGTCTTTCTTCTTAACAACATGGATCAGGCTGGCCCATGGACTCTTCGATGGACGGCATATCCCCATATCCATCATGCGTTCAAACTCGACTTTCGCAGCTTGGTACTTGTCCGGTGGAAGGGGGCGTGGTCTAGCATATAGTGGCGCCCCCGATGTGTCGATGCGATGGACCACCTGGTGCTTCGTCGGGCTCTTTAGTAACATGGGTCGCAGAACGTCTGGATATTGCTTCAAAATGTCGTGGTACACGTGATTGCGGTCGATCATGTAATGTGATCTTGTTGTGGCGTAAAAAATCGGCTCCCAGAATTGAAGTCTTCTCTTCGGCAACGATGAAAGTCCAGCGGAAACAGCGTCGAAGTCCAAGGTTTAGTGTCAATGTTTCGACGAGAAAGCGTTCGCTACTGTCCACGTCGATGACACATAAGCGGTTGCTTCTGTTGGCTACACCGATTCCCGCTACAGTCGGTGTAGAATTTAGTTTTCCACCTGCTTCCGTTTTGCACATGGTGATTCGCAGCGTCGTGCTCGGTTGCCAAAACGATGATGGTAATAACATAGCCACTCGCCATTTTCCATGTTAGAGCTACGCCTGGCGGATGACCGTGATCGTGAACGGCGCCGTGGGTTGTAAGGTTTACGGTGTCTTGAAGTGTCTCTCGTTCTACGTAGCTCAGCAATCTCGAGTGTTATACGTTCTACTTGCTTGGAGAGTACGTCGATGTGCACGTTTGCGGTCATTGGTGACGAGTGGGTTGGCGATGGCGTGATGGTGCTTGACATTGCGCTGGCCGGTGTGAATGGGCGATTGATCGCTGCGATGGTTGGTGGCTCTGTATATTCCCTCATCTTATCTGCCATGACAGCTAGAGTATCCAGAGACGATTCGGTGTTGATTCATCCACAGCACCTTGAGCGCATCGTCCGTTGCGTATGTTCCGCCCAGTTCTCTCATTCGCCTCAGTAGCTGCGTGGGCTTCTGGTCACCCAGCTCGAGTCCGCTAACAAGCCTCTGGAATTGTTGATCTTCAGATTCTTCATACACGGACAGTAGCCGCGTTTTTAAAGCAGTGTACTTCCCGTGCGGTGGAGGTCTCAAAATTAAGTCGCCGATTTGTTGAATGTCCGACGGTTGTAGTACGCCTAAAACGTAGCGATATTTTTGTTCGTTGCTTGTTTTTAACGGTTCAACAAGAGCTTCAAATTGTGCGAACCATAGTCGCGGATGTTCGCGCCAAAAGGGTAATATTCTGGACTGGATTGAGACTGCAGCCATGTCGAATGAGGGTTCGGTAGGTTTGTCTTCATTCTCCATTTTCGCTTCAAAATCACGTCGGGGTCACTACTTTAGCGGATGCTCGGAGGGTTGTTAGTTGGAGAAGTGAAACGCTCGATGTCTCGCTCGCAATTAACATTTATTTCGAAATCAGCCCCTACCTTTATACAAAATTTATAAAATATAACGTACTCCCCAAACATAAGTTGGAGAGAGAGAGAGAGAGAGAGAGAAACTATATATGTGCCTCTCGCTCTCGCTCACACGTAAATACATCGCGCGCGCGGGCCGCCAGCCAGTCGGCGCTCAGTCGACGACAGGAGTGGTTGTAGCAGTAGGGCGAGGAGAGCTCCTTTTAAAATTTGGTGTAAAACGAGGTCAAATTACAGAATTAAACACTTTTAATATTGGTAGTGACATACTAAAACGTATGCAAAATTGTAAATTTCATGTGCCATGTACTTTTCCATTGGATTGTTTAAAAATACTTTACGATAGATTTAGAATACAGGTACCATTCAATTTAAAGGCACAACAAATTATTGAAAAACAAAAATGATAAAAAAAATATTTAGAATAAGCCATTTGTAATAAAATATGCTATCAAACGATAAAGTTTTGTTTATTTAATTTTATTCTCTTGTGCCAACCCTACCAAAATAGGTATAAATTTTGCACGCTGTATGAAGCTTTGTTCTCTGTTTCTTTTTTTTACTCATGTGGCAATAGCCCCAGACCGCAACAACAACTGTTTTACAAACTTTCTTGATTAAATTAAAATAAAACTACTAAAATAAAATGAAAATGCAAAAAAATTTGGTAAAAGGAAAACCTGGTGATTGTGAAAGACATACAGCCCCATACCTTTCACAATAATTATTAACATTGAAATGGTACCTAGTACTACTATGTATTCTGAATGCTTTTTAATAAGAAAAGGTCTTTCCTGAAAATCTTCTTGTGGTCCGTGATATTGTTAAAAATGAACAGCTTTGTCGAACGAACGGAGTCCTTTTCTTAATTTCTTTTATTTATTTCGATAAATATAAAACAAAGTTTGTATTTTACAAAAATATAATCTGTGTATATATATAGGAAATGAAACTATTTTTCCGGATAACCTTGTTTTGTATATTTGTTTTTTCAAACAAACCTCGTTTTGTTTGAAAAAACAAATATACGCGATTTAAATCCGGAAAAATAGTTTCATTTCCTATGTGTAACCATCGCGAAAACCTAAGAACTCGATGTGTATATATATGTCTGTCTGTATGCTCAGTAGCATTCACTTGTAATGAACATTCAAAATCAAATGAGAAAGCATTCACGAGCATTTGAACGAGTGAGGAATCTATTCATTTTGAACATTCTATACCAGAATCGGTAACATTTGTATAAGACTAATAACACGTGTAGAATATTGACTCGCCGTAGATTTGCAGGTTTACGGGGGATGGACCAAGTCATTTTGGTTCTTCCGGTTGCGCTCTTGCAGCGTCATCATTTCTTCCACCGAACATTAGAGTTCTTGTGAAGCTCGACATATCGCTATCGAATGACCATTACAAGCGACTGCACTTGATAGGATAAACCTTAAAGAAATTCTGTTTTTATAGATTCTTAGCCAGCTACGCTCAATATGGGATTTGGCTGATATATTAAACGCTGCACAAATATTGTGGCTCTGCTATGTCTTCTGCTTTGTCTTCTTTACGATCATAAGGTTCAAGATAGTTATAGTACGTGTATTCACTTTTTTTATTATATATTATTACAATTCAAAAGCACTAAAACAAAACTTTCCAGTATAACATAACTACGTTTCTCTATATAAGTACCGCTTATTCGTTGTACAAAATGTTTTCCTTGTGTAGTGTGTGATTATTTATGTGATTATATATTATGGGTTACAAATTGGGTTACAATAATTTAGAAAAAGTTGACAAAATGGATACTGGACGATAATTGGAAATATTGTAGCCCATGCCTCATCACCCTTTTTATAAATTGGGACAATTCGAGCTTTTTTCCATTGGGTCGTAAAAACGCCGTCTCACATGGAGCGGTTGAAAATTAAGGCAAGGGGCTTGACAAGTTTGGAGCCACAAGTTTTAGTAAACAATGGTTAATATGTTTTAAAATGATTAATATGTTTTAAAATATATTTTTCCGTAACATTATTTAAATAAGTAATGTACGACAAATCGTGTAGTACCATTACCTTTTTTTTTGGTCTGAAATAAAAAGTTAGGTGCACTAGTCCATCGTCAGTTCGAATTTCAAAAACCCTTTCCAGGCTAGCGTGCAAAAAACACTTTTGCGCGCAGGTTTCTAATGAGAAAGAAAGCCTTTCCGAGCTAATGAGGTGACAACGATAGTTTTTTAAAGTTTGATATATGTATATATTAATTGTTCCATCTATATTTAGTTGATCTATGGATAAATTATAAATTAGCTGTATTCAAGGTAACACTATCTTTATGTTTAAGCATACTGAATTAATGTTTGGTATTCAAAAATAATATTTCATCCTCTTTTTTTATTATTGATCTTTTCTTTTAATGATTGATGACATTTATAACCAGTACAACTTTTGATATTGATCTCGTAATAAATCTTGGTTGCGCCCTATACTCAGTAGGTTAGGTTAGGTTAGTATATGAAATGCTGAAACCAATTTACTTGAGTTTCCGAACATGTTTTCTGGTCAAATGATATTATAATTAATATAAGTAACTATTTTTCCGGATTTAAATCGCGTATATTTGTTTTTTCAAACAAACCGACGTTTCGGGCCCTTTACAGGTCCCATGGTCACGGTTGACTGAGGTGGTACATTCTTCAACCAGTTATGTCTAATATTGATGCAAACCACCCTATTTTTTCACTATAGTTACAATAGTTATTAATTAAATACCTTATTTTTAATTTTACAAAGAAAACATTGCAATTTACGCTTCATTAAGTTTTACAAATTATTTTATTGAATGAATTTTTATAAAGTTCAGTTTATTATTAATTAATAATAGAAATTAGAATAAATTAAAACATATTCCTATGTGTAACAATCGCGAAAACCTAGGAACTCGATATAATATTAGTATATAAATATAATCAACATTTACTTAGTTTTAAAAATAAGTATCTAAATTTTACTTTTAATGCTCATTTGTCTTAGTTTTGAGGCCCAACATAAAACTATCAAAGTTAATTTATACAAATCAAATATTCTTTGCGTAGCTCAGAACAGATTAAAATATTCATCAATTTATTAAATCTCGGAGAAAGAGGATCAATCATTAATAAAGATGACCGTTTAGATTTTTGTCTGCTGCTTTTGCAAATTTAAAAAATCATTTAAATGTATGCTTTTTTAAATAATCCCGATTGTTGGATACCTACTATTTAAAGTATAGACATTCCCATGTATAATTATTATGTTGCCAGTCATATAATATGTTTAAACGATAATTTTGGGTGGCACAAGTGATTGATAAATTCTATTTTATTTTTTTATGAATTCGCCGTAATTTTATATACAAAAAAATATATGATAGTACTATCATTGCGCCCAAGTTTATGCAAGAAAAAATGGATCCCTTGGAATCCCTACCAAATCCCTTGGATTTGATGTTTTTACAATTTAACGATATTATTATTCCTTTTTTATTAGAGTTAGGGTGGGTGCGTAATCTTAGATGGTTTAAAAAAAATTAAAATCCAATAAGGCGAGTTACAATCGAATAAGAATAAAGAATAAAAATCTTTAATGTCCTATCCAAAAATTGGGTAAGGAGTAGACGACATTGATCAAAAATCTAGAGTTTGGGCATGATTCAACACACACTCTAAAATTATTAAGACCACGTGTTTAATTGACAAACTCCTTACCAGCTAAAAATTGTTTTCTTTGTGTTCCAGTTTTTTGGATGCGTAATTGTTTCGGCGTTCTTTTGGGCGATAGTAGGTATCACAACGGTTGTTTTATTTGTCATCAGCGATATTGGTTACGACTTCATTGACATACATTTACCAAGAGTGATTTCCGGTATATTGGCCAATCACACACGTTTGTTTGGTTCTAAAATAAATATTACTTTTGATGTAAGTATTGAAAAGTATTAAAATATATCAGGTATTACATTCGTATAGTACGTAAAATGACACCAAAACGAAAAAACATTTTTTATGAGGGGTCTAGTTTACCCCTATTGTTTACGTTGAAGTAGAAACACGCTAGTTAATACTGAACAACTATAATAGTTAATGCATAACTATTTAAAAAAATATTCTCAAGGCGAGTCATCGGAGGAGAAGCGGGATAAACTGTTTTGCTATTATCAAATGGTTTAGGTATTTACAATTAAATAACGGTCTTATAAAAAATTTGCAATACACCTAAGGATGTTGTCTAAAGAATGTGCTAGTTCGTTACACGATAGAATATACTTTACTCGATCATATAAAATCCCGAAAAGTCTAAAAGGAATTATTTAAGAATAAAAATGTTCAACTTGCATACATTTTTTATATATTTCTCTTTAAACACTACAGAGAACCTGCTAAATTTTGGTTTTCCACATGTCTTCAACGGATTGATGTCTTCAATTAAATTCACATTTATCAACGTCGGGTCTGTGTCAATTTTTCTGCGCCTGTTCTTATTTTATTTATATTAACTTTAAACGCGCAAATTGCGGGACGGCGGCCCCCACTTCTCAATGTTCACGTTGAAGTACCTCGCCTTAAAATGATGTAATTTGACACTAAGTGGACGAGGGCGGAGGTGGTGAATCAATTTCTGCCCAGAAAATGTTTCTCGTTTATATGTATAAAATAACTAAGTTCAAAACGAACATCGATACATATTATTTTTAACCGACTTCAAAAAGGAGGGAGTTCTCAATTCGATTGTATTTTTTTGAGTATATATTACGCGATGAACCGATTTCGATTATTCTTTTTTGTTGGAAAGAGGGTACTATAGCATGGGAACGTAGCTTGGGTAGCGTAGCGAGAGGTAGTTTATAAATATAAACGACGATTATATCATAATTATAACTTTATACGTGTATTCGATTTCAAAGTTTTGTCCAGAACTCCTAGATGTCTGTTTGACATCAACACTCTATTATTTTTATAATTCTAAATACAAAACCTAAGTTGCCTGTACCACATCCCTCTTCCTTACAACTGAAGGGGTGAACATCCCTTAGCTAGTGCCCTACCTATGATAGGCAACATACATAATATGTGATCAGCCTTTACTATAGGCTAGCCACACACTGCTCGGAAGCTATCACTTACTAACAAACAAAACCACCGAGAAGGCTGTGGCTTTAATCTGCCAAAAATCTATCTAAAAGGACAGACTATGACCACATCCTAATCAAACAATCTAAATATATTTTTTAGCTATCCTAGCTATTTAGGTATCCTAGCTATAAAACCTTAATTCTTTATTCAAGCTTCCTACTTAACCTAAATCCTACCATAATTTTTATATAATTCCAAACAAATAACAATCCTCATCGTGCACGCTGATACGATGACGCCACTGGGGAACATCAATATTGATCTCCCAGCTGCCTCCGTCCTCATCCTGTAGCTATCCACGTTTCACCAAACTTTCTTACTTTCTTTGAACAAATTAAAACAACACCCAAATTATCCTAACAACAACGTTTCCTAACACAAATATGGTATGACGATATATCATATGGCGGATTCCTAATAATTAAACAAATATATTTTCCCTTGAATGCAGACAGTTCCTGTTCATCTGGACGAATGACCAACAACTATGTACATACACAGGATAATATATCCATAAAATGAAAAATAAAAAATAAGTTATATTCATACAAGTCGGTAGTCCATCTCCTCCTGTCCTTTCATGTCTGCATTCGACGGAATAAAAAATTCATCAAAACATTCGACAAGATACACCGTCGTCATGGCTCCATATGAAGAACAAACAAAAGATTAACAAACATTTAACAATAAAATATAAACAACCTATTACCTACTATAAACTGAAAATCATTAAACTCTCCACTATAGAACCTTTTCAACCTATTCACATGCACCAGATCCTGCCTACCAGAGATCCTGTTACCAAACTAGGAGTAGATCTAGTTAACCTAACTTCCGCATATCATCATATCTCCTGGACATCAAAGCAACTCTATCTTTTTTATCAAAATTCCGCTTCTGTTCTGACCGTGTACTTCCTATCTACTCTTTGTGCGAACCAATCAAGGCTGCTCGTTTCCCTAAAATTGTCCCGTAAATTTTCCGCAACACTTACACAACCACGTTTAAAATTGTCATTTTCCGACGAATTTTATTTTCATACGAACTACGCACTTACGGCAAAACGTATTTATAAATTTTTTCTAAAAAATTACCCTTTTGACACCATTGACCCGTCTTGCCACTTACGTCAGCTTTTTTCTTTATTTCCGATAACCGAGCAGAATGTATATATTCCGAGTTCTTTACCGCCAAGTTATCAGAACTCTTTGATACCGGCCCGATAGACGACTTTTCTTTCTTTGACTCGATATCTGTCATGGACTTAAAAGAAATTTTATTGTCAATTTTCAATTTTGACAACTTGAAATTATATTCCTTTAAAATGTCCTGGACGAGGATAAGAAATTCCTCATCACCTTGCTCAATAAGCAACCTCTATAGGTATTTGTTTCCATTAATTGTCAACGACACTTTGGTGGGCGCCTGCACTTTTATTGGCATTCCGCCCACTGTATGCAATGGAAAACTCGAAGTATCATCAATCTGCAAATGTAACCTTTCTGCAAAACAACGAGAGATTATTGAAACCGAAGCACTAGTATCCACCAACTTGCACCTTACATTATTAACAAAAACAGATATAAAAGATATAGATAGTGTAGATAGGGCTATCTACACTAAAACTATCAACTGTATAAATATTTCCTAAAGGTGTACTAATTTAGTCTCACTAGCAGGAATTCTCCATTTTGTTAGCCAATCCTCCATTTCGTTTAAGCTGCTTTGAAGGAGTCCGGATGCTTCAACTGGACATTTACTTGAGACTGGTAACGCCGTGTCATCAGCGAAGGTAGCAACGGTGGCCTTTGGGTTTTGTAGCAGGTCGGCTGTGAAGAGTGTGTACAGAACAGGTCCAAGCACAGAACCTTTTTTTTTTTTTATTGTGACTCGGCAAAATGACTGCACCGCGCCTGATGGAAAGTGCGAATACAGTCCAGAGATGAGAGTAACGGATGGAAAACACAAATATCTTCACTCCGTCACTATCATTTTGCCGGTCTGGCCAAATGCTTCTTCACACTACGTTTGAAGGACCCGATGTTATAGAGGGGAGGGAATACATGCGCCGGGAGTTGGTTTCACAATTTGATGGTTCGGCATAAAAACGAATTGCCAAACTTTTTAGTGCGGGACGGTATTGAACTGACCGCCCAACTGTGCCAACGCAGTCCGGCACGGGTGGTCCGCTGATGGAAAGGAGAGGAAGGGATAAGGTTGAATAACTCTTCAGAGCACTCGCCCTGGTACAGGCGATAGAATACGCTAAGAGACGCTATATCTCTGCGAAGCTGTAACGACTCCGCATGCTCAGTTACATGAGGATCGTTGACAACACGGAAGGCGTAGCACTGCAGTCCATCTAGGGCATCGAGCAAGTACTTGGCAGAGCCGTCCCAAAGGTGCGAACAGTACTCCATGCTGCTTCGGACCTGAGCTTTATACAACAGGTATCGCAGCTCTGGAGTAAAAAATCGGTGCACCTTGTTCAGGATGCCAAGCTTGCGCGACGCGGTACAGATGACGCTCTCGATATAATCTTTGTTGCTCATGTCCTTCCGGATGCTCATTCCCAGTAGGCTGAGCTTGTCCTGCAGCGTCAGCATTGTACCCTGAAGATAGGGAAGTGGAAGGAATGGGGATTTTTTGGAGCTGAACGCGCATACCTGGGTTTTCTTGGCGTTGAACTCAACCAAGTTTCGGGAGCCCCACGACGATATATGTTCCAAAAAATGGTTGAGTCCAGCGACAAGTTTTTCCCGGTTTCTCTCAGGGTCCTCCCGGCTGCTTGACGATTGCTTATAATAGCAACCGTGCACTGTGCTATCATCTGCATAGCAATGAATGTTGCCTAGAGGCAACAAGTCATTGATATGCAGAAGGAACAGCGTGGGCGACAGCACGGAGCCCTGTGGCACCCCAGCATTAACTGTCACGAGCCGCGAAGTGCTTCCGTCAACAAGGACACGCAATCTTCGCTCGCGCAGAAAGCCGGAGATCCATTCACAAAGGCGGCCGGGAAGACCATATGCCGGAAGCTTGGAGAGGAGACCACGGTGCCAGACCCGATCAAAGGCCTTAGCAATATCCAGACTTATCGCTAAGGTTTCGCCCTGTTTGTCGATAGCTTCACCCCAGAGATGCATTAGATACGCTAGAACGTCACCCGTTGATCGGTTCGGCCGAAACCCGTACTGTCGATCATTAAGAATGGAGTGACGTTCCAGGTGCCGGATTTGCACGTTGGCCTCCCTCCAAGCTAGGGGCACGTTACCAGATTGGTATGAGAGGCGGTATAAGCGCGTCAGTACGGGAGACAACTCCGCCGCACACCTTTTAAGGACGATAGGAGGTATCCCATCCGGACCATAGGCCTTCCGCACGTCAAGAGTCTGCAATTCCTTGCGGACATCACATTGTCTGATAACTATATCAGGCATTGTGACTCCGCAGTGGGGAATTGATGGCGGTTGCGCATCTTGGTCGTGAATGCGCGAGTTAGCCCCAAAAAGGTCGGCCAATAAATTGGCTTTCTCTTCGGGGCCATAGGCTAAAAATCCATTGGGATACCTCAAAGGTGGCAGCGACGAACGACAAAAATTGGACTGCACGGCTTTGCCCAGGCTCCAGTAGGCACGGCTACCGGTGGGATGGGCTACCAGCTTCTGGCCAATCCGTGAAACGCGCTGGACATCCGCTCTTATGTAAGCCCTCCTGCAAAACTTGGTTGCTTTGTTATAGGCTGCTTTAAGGGACGCAAGGTTGGGATCCTTTGTTACACGATCCTT